GTCCAGGGTGAATGAATAGTGAAGGGCAAAGTTCTGGCGTTTGACCGCTGGAATGAAGCTTGTCGTTTCCTTGTTACCAGATAACCTTTTGCCTTTGAAAGAGGCTTTCAATTCTCTTTTTGCTGTAGTTCTTCCAGACCATTCTTTACAAACGGGCTTAGAGAAATCTAACGTTTTATTCCTTCAAACAGGCAGAAACAATTTGAGGACACCGAAAAAAATATGTATCTTAGGTTCTGACCTTTATTTATTACGAAGTCGAAAAGTACCGCTGTATTAAAAGACTAAATTTTTTGGGAAATGTTGACGTGAAAAGTTTTTTAACACAAAATTAGTAGATAAATGAGTATTTTATGAAAATTCACGCTTTATTTCTCTGAAAATCCACCAACATATCCTTTAAAAAATTTTTATACGAACACAACCTACAGATACATAGTTACAGGCGATAGAGTAGGGCAAGAGAAGAGAAAAATTTAGATGAACTAGATGGCAAAAAATGCTGTACTTCAAAACAGAGCAATGCTCTTTTTCTTTGACGGAATCATTAGTAGTGGAAGGAGGAGAAAAACTGACACAAACTTAGAAAGGAATCTCGCCAGATACAGTTCATAGTTCACTGTAGATAATGACCGTTATATTTTATCGCTTTATACGTCCACGCTTTAATGGAACTATTGCAGAACTATGGACTTTCCTTTGTTTGTTGAGAAATATGAAATTAATGGCCGCATATATAGGCGAAACCCATCGAAGAGGATGAAGTGAGTTTAGCTCTGTAAATCAGTAGTTGCTTTTTTGTTAATCACAAAAATGTATTACTTTTCTTTAATTCTGTACAACTTCGCTTCGTTAGTTCACTACTTAGTGACGGATCGCGCATTTAAACAAAAAAGAAATTTTTTCTTTGACGCACGTGAATGCTATTATTCTTTATTATCAGTGAATTGTTGTCATAAGTAATTTTTTAGTTAGGGCTTTTGGTTTTAGAAGTGGGTTTGAACAGAGGGGTGGTGATACTGCGGATCTGTATGGGTCAGAAGAAGAGATGGAAACTACTGCATCTCGTGGTAATTTTAGCATTGCTTTGTTTCTTTAAAACAAAGGGTCGCATGAAATTTCTCATGACGTTATGCGGTATGAAACTGTCGTTTTTTCAATCCTGCTTAAATTTCATCAATGCGTTTCATAATAATTGATTTAGATTTCCAAGAAGGTTTTTGACTTCACTTTTATGAATTTCATACACAGTTGGCATTTAATATGGTAGAGTTAGTGCATTTTGTGCGCAATTCTTTTTGCTTTTTGGAGTTTTCATCATTTTACTCGTAATATTCCTTCGCTAAGCAGAGGACCTTACGAGTGAAACACACTGTTCGATGGCTGCAGAAAGTGACAGAACAGATGAGCACTGTGAATGCGGAATGCAGAATAATTTACCAAATAAAAGTTCAAAATATCCAGTCGTCTTCAATGAAAAGTCGCAAAAATGGTCCACAAAGTACTTTTTGGTTATTATTACTATTACTATTATTATTATTTATTTATTTATTTTTTTGGGGGGGGAGTTATTTGTAAAAGAAATTAACGTTAGGCGTTTTCAGAATCGCAGTTCCGCACGAGCTGATCAGATTCGTTGTCGGAGCGAAGGGAGCAGTGAAAAAGAAAATTGAAGAGGAGACGACTTCACGTATTATTATTCCAAATAAGGAGAAGGAACAACCTTTAGGTCTTTTGGGTTCTTAACTTGTTATTTTTCTTGCAGAGCAGTTGTCATGAGTCTTATTCATCTCATGATGGCTTTTAAGCCATTAAAAACAATTATTTTAGAGAGTTAAGGCTGTTGCTGAATATTTAACGCATTTTGAATTGTTAATTAAGTAAAGATTTGAGTAGTAGCATTTTAGAGGTTGTCTCAAAGTCCGAAGATTGTGTTAATCGTTGTAGAGATAGAATTGAATTGATTGTCATGAGTGCTCGTGAAAAAGCTCCCTTTACACACTTTGTCTCATTTTCGGCTGCCGTTCCGGATATTCAGAATTCATTTGCAGAATTTGCAAAGCGTGTGAAAGAAGATGAAGAGCTTTCGGTATCTTCTGGTTTTACATCGTTTTTGGCAACAATTTAGGAGTTGGAAATTGCTTGTTGAGTTGTGAAACGCTTTGTTCTGGAAATTCTAGGAAACTTGTCGGGATGAGGATCTTTTTCAAGAGCCAGAAAAGCTCCATTTTACTATTGTTATGCTGTCATTGCTTGATTCGTGTGAGAGAGTAGCGGCAGCTAAAACCCTAACGGAAGTTGTGGAGGATAAAATCAGGTAAACCGGTTAGGGACGGTACTTCTCTTTAGTATAATTCATTAGTTTTAATATCACTAATCATTTTTAAAGCGACCATTCTTTGGCGGTATTCCTCTCTTCATAGAGGTATGTCGGGTAGATTAAAACTGCTCCTTTATTTACTTTTTTTT